TAGTGAAATAAACCCCACAATTAAATCTTTTCCAGAAAAAGCAACAAACTCAGAAAGATTAAATGGATTGTCCATAGTAACAAAGCCAGAAAGTTCAGAGCTGAGTTTCGAACCAAGGTCTCCTGATCACACATATAACATTCTTTCCATTACATTATGTAATGCCATAGGGACGCTATGTAAAATCATCTGATTATTATCTATGATATATGTGCAGTAATCTAAAAACATTTATTCAGCATTGGCTATGTAAAATCTAGTGTTAATCATTAAGGTTAGCTAGGAGGAAGTAGAACATAGTCCTTGCCCTCAAAAATCTTACAATTTAAAAAGAAAATGATCCATCAAACATAAAATATTTACATAAATATATATGTATATACATATATATGTGCATACACATATACATACATGTGTATACATACATACATACATACATACATACATACATACACACACACATATGTACTCAGTGGATACTGAAGTTAATGCAGCTGAAATTCTGTGAATGGACCAATGAAATGACTCTGATTCAGGATTGTCAAGGAAGGGTTTGTGCTGGAGGTGAATTTTAAGTGGAGTTTTGGAGGAACAGGAGGGGGTAACAGTTCAAGATTGCAGAGTACTGATCTCACAGAAGTGCTTTTGGCTAAGATGGCTGCCTGAAGGAAAGGCAGATTACTAACCAGCTCCCATATAACTATTCCAGCAAAACCCTAAAGTTTGTACCAGACTAAATAATGATCAGGAAATCCAATGAGAACCTATTGTAAGTGACTTCTGCCCCGGAGTCACACAGAAGCCTGAGAGCCTTAGGAAAAGTGGCTGTCATAAAACCAAGACTGCCTTCCACTGTAACCAGAGGATGATCAGAGATTCCCACAGCCTATGAGGTCAGGTGTCTGGAGACAAAAAGAATGAAGGGCTCCCTTAAGAAAGCCTCAGAGTGGTCAAAAATCCCAGGGTGATAACCCTGGATGTGTCGGAGAGCTGCAGCACCCAACCAGCACAGAGGGGCAGCCCTCAGACTGGGACACAGTAAGCCAAGGGTATCTGAGGTCCCTAATACTTTGTTCTGAGACACCAGAGAGACCTCTGAAGATCCTAAGTGCTGAGCCTCAAGATTCAGGAACATCTAACCCTGGGAAATGGAGGACAGCTCAAGAACCCAGGGTACTCAAGGTGAAACCAAGCAGAGCTTGTCACCCCACTCAAAAGTGAAGCTTAGCCCTGGCACAAAATCTCAACTGAGGACCTAAAGTTGGAGAGATGAGCAAATCAAAGAAAACAACACCCAGTATCAAAAGTTATTGCAATTCTAGAGATCCCACAAAAGAAGGGGAGAGTAACTCCATTACAACTATAAGTAGATACTCAAAGGGAAAAAAAAAATATTTTGTATAAGTCTACACAAATACTCAAAAGAAATGAAGCAAGAGATAAAAAAAAAGAAATAAAAGCTCTTGAGGCAATATTTAGAAAGAGAATAAACAGCTTAAAAGAGAAAGTGGTAAACCTTACTCAATAAAATGGTTCCTTGCACACCAAAACACAAGAACAGGGTAAAAATGAAAAGAATTGGAAATCAAGGTGTCTTAGATTACCTCTTGGACAACCAGTGAATGATTGAACAAATTTGGTCTTATGAATGTAATGGAATACTATTGTGCCATAAGAAATGATGGAGTCAATTTTAGAGAATCTTGGGTGGTATGAATTAATGCAGAATGAAATGAGCACAACCAGGAAAATAATTTATACAAGGACTACTGTAGTGTAAAGAGAAAAATTTGGAAAGTCTTAAGAATTCTGATCAATGCAATGACCAATCATGCCTCTAGAGGATCTATAATGCATGTTTTTCACCTCCTGACCAAGAAGCAATAGACACAGGTGCAGACATACATTTTTGGATATGGCCACTACACATGTAGATTTGTTTTGTCTGACTATGCTTATATTTTAGAATTGTTCCTCTCCTCCCCCTTATTATTTAGTTGAGGAAGAGGAACAAGGGCAGGATTAGCAGTAGTGATTGCCCAAAATATGAGGACTATTGGAAGATCTTTTAAAATGCCAAAGAGAACAGAAAGAAATTCAGAAGGTTTCCAAAGTATGGAGATGTCATATACTTTTAAAAAAGCAAATGGTATGAAATGGAGATTCACAGTTTAATAGAAAATCCTCTTTTTCAGCTGTAAGGAAATGTTCTTTTTTTGCTATTTAAGTTCAGAATAAAAAAATTAAAAAAATATATCATCTCACGAGGGAAAAAAGATTGGAGAGTACTTCATGCAGATTGGGAATGACACATACAAGTTGTAGATAACTTAAATAACTCTTAGTGTATGGCAATCAGGTATTATAAGTATTCAAGGTGGGATATGACAGGGGATGAATATTGTTTAATTTGGAGGTTAGGAAGGGCAGAAAGCAAGGGGTTTACGGAAATAAGAAACAGTATAGGAAATTCGTAAAGTTCACAACCAAAGACTAGTAATCAGTGGCTCTGTGTCACTGGGAAATAGCTGAGAAAAACTGTGACAGATGTAGGTAACATGCTGAGAAGAATCTCACAAGGACAGATCTGAGATAGATATTATTTACTGCTTTTATCTCATGATACGGATTAAAGAATTGAGAATATGCTCATTATGAATGCAGGCACACTAAGCTGGGTGAAGATGTTAACAGCTCAGAAGACAGAAATAGAATGAAAAGTGACTGCAATAAATTTGAAAAATTATTCACCAAAAAACCCAAGATACTGTTCGATACTTTAAGTGAAATATTACAAGTTAAAAATTCAATAAACTTTGGGGCCAGAAATAAGCTACACAAATGTAGATGGGAAAGGATAAGCATAACATAAATCCCACTCTCTCAGTGCAATTGATCTCAAGTAGATAGCAGGAAGGAAGAAATCAGTGGAAAGCAAACTTGTTTGAGAACCCTTCAGGGCACAGTTCTGGGATTACCTTCTAGAAATCTAGAAGATGCCTTTCCTGATTCCCTCATCTCCAGCTTTTTGAGGGCTCTTGCTCTCTTGAAATTACCTTGCATAATAACACATATACTTTGCATTTACTCCTCATTGTGTCTGTTGTATCCCCACAGCTAAGTGTAAGCACCTGGAAGGCTAGGACTGGTCTCTTTTTGTCTCTGTATGCCTGATACCCAGCACAGTGCCTTGGACGTAGGAAGCGCTTAAAAATACAGTGCTGCATTTGTTGTTCAATCTGAGGACACAGGTTCAACACCTAGCTCTTCTGCCCACCTATAGGATCTTGGGCAAGATGCTTCTCTCTGGGCATCAGCTACCTCAATGCAAAATTAGGGAGTCCTACTGGATGGCCTCTGATTGTTCCTTCCAGCTTTAAATCCTAGGGTTTGTTGTCACAAAAGTCCATTTCTTGAACACCAGTATTTCTCTAGTGATGCTGCCTGATTTTTGTGCAGTAACCCAAAAGGTAGTAGAAAGGCGCACAGACGACATAAACTGCAGGTTACTTGTGCCTGAAACTGACCTAAAAGACATATCTGAGGATGTACTCACAGGTGGGCTGGTTCTATAGCAAGAATGGCAGATAGGAAATAGACCTAGTGGTGCATTGTTATATTTCGGGTACTAAAAGAAACAGGAAGAAAGCCTTTAGCATACTTGGAATTCTTCTATCAAGAATTTATGGGAAAATATGGGCAAGAATCACATAGGATGAGGAGGTGGTGGACGTAGTGGGATCTACATCACTGGGTAGAATATCCCATACAATGAAATCCCGAATTCATCAAAGTACAATAATAAAAAGCACTGTGCTAAGCACTGGAGATGCAAAGATGAAATCCAACACAATCTTTGTTCTTAAAGAATTTATAAGCTACTTTGGGGTGAAACATACAAAAAGTGTTATAACATAACTTGGAAAAGTATCATATATGTAGCAGGGTCAAACAATCCACCAATAAGCATCGATAGGCATCAATATGCCAGGTGCTATGATGAGCATTGGAAATAGAGCAGAAGAAGAGATTCAGGGAGGAAGGAATCATTTTTACTTGGGAATACTAGGAAGCTTTTATGAAAGAGGTGATACAGAGGTCAAGTCACTATTAAGTAATTTTAAGCTTTGAGAACACTGACTGAAAAAAAGTAATTTGATATAAATATAAAATAACTTATTTATTTAATTTATTTCTTTTTGGAGGCAAGCAGGGTTAAGTGACTTGCTCAGGGTCACATAGCTAGTAAGTGTCTGAGGCCAGATTTGAACTCAGGTCCTCCTGACTCCAGGGCTGGTGCTTTATCCACTGTGCCACCTAATTGCCCTTAAACAACTACTTTAAAAGAGGTAATACAGATAACAATAACAAAAATTTATATAGTTCTTTTAAAAGTATACATCATCTCACTGGAGCATCATAACAAATGGGGTAGAGAAGTACTTTACACAGTTTCCACCTATTTTACTGATAAAGAAGCTAAGTTGACTTGTTTTTGACCACAAAGCTACTATACTAAATATATAGGTGGGACTTCAACCAAGGTCTTCCTGACTCCCAGTCCAGCATCTATACACCATACCCTCAAATAAGGAGGTTGCTTGTATAAAACAAAATAAAACACCTGCTGAATAAGAAAAGCAACCTGTGGTCCATATCAAAATGGGCTTATCCCATTAACCATTTATTGGTTAAGAACAGAATTCATCCAATGAATAACACAGATAAATAGTAAAATTAACCTACAAAAAAAGCACTGCATATTGAGTATTATTCTAAGTCTTCAGAGAATAACGAAAATAAATTCCTATCATTATACAAGAAAAGAACAGCCTAAGCATGGGCAGGTAGATAATCAAATTACAGGCAATGATGATGCGGTGTCTTCCTCTAAATATAATAATGAGTATGGTTCTAACTATTACTCAAGTGCCATCTTGTTTTCTCCAAACATAATAAGTGTAATATATGCACGGGGACTGATGAATAGAACTTACTACCTTAGTTTCATTCTCTCGTGCATTTTTCCATGCTGGATACACTGATCTTCCAATTCATTATTTCGTTTCTGCAGCTTTCCCAGTTTTTCTATCATGTGTTTGTTTTCCTGATCAAGATGGGAAACTTCACACCTAGAGAAGTAAAATCAGAAAAAGTGGTTCTAGCGAGCTTTCTTATTTTATCATGCCTTCTACCAGATGCTCTGGATGTTAACCTATACTCCATACTCAAAGAAGCAAAAAAGGTTTAAATAAGCATTGAAAAGCACCACCTGAGAAGACAAATAATAAATCATAAATATTAGTAGAAATTGTAATGCCTAGTGAAGTTCTTTGCTGACTATAGACCTAAGAAAAATGCTGGATGGATGGATGGATGGATGAATGGCTGAGATACTCCAAAAGTTGCCTGTCTTGGCAAAAATGTCAGATGTGATTATGACTACATCTCTTCCTTTTATATTTTAAGTAAGTGTCACCAGACTAATTTTTAAAGCATTAAGTTTTGAAACTCATTCAAGAAATGACATTGGCAGTTCTCAAGATGATGAACATTTTTTAAAAGTTTTCTGTTAAAGAGATTCCTGCCTTGAGACAATATTTTTGGAGAAAAAGAAAATTCACTTAGATTAAACTATTCTTCTGGGTCAGGAGAAGAATTTAGATTTGTCCTGGACAACCTTACCTGGCGAATGACTTCCTCCAGTCAATCTTCATACCTTCCACCAGCAACCCCTTGTTTGAGCTGTCCCCGATGCCTGGAACAGTCTCTCTTTCTATCTATCATATGACAATAATAACATTCTTTCCGACAGAACCTGAGATAGTATTTAGGGAACTCCCAGTGAAGTAATGTCTTCTGATATCATATATTGGCAATCCTATGCATCTTGGAGCACTGGGGCAGCACAGCCCAGGAGACAGGCAGCTGATCTTGGAGTTGGGAAGACTTGGATTGGAGATCTGCCTCTGGCACAGCCTGTTTGACCCTGGGCTCTCTATAGCTCCAAGTGATAGAGCTGGTGCTGAGCCACAGCGCAGGAGGGAGGAATTCCTCAGCAGGGAATTCCCCATGCCAATGAAACCAAAAGTCCAGAACAAATAATAATGATGATGATAAATGTATAATAAAAATAAGCATATAAAATAACAACATATATATATAACTGTATTAATATAATTATTGTTACAGCTGACTTTATGTAGTATTGTAAAGTTTACATTATATCACTTAAGGACCATCATTGCCCGTTGTATTGAATTATGTCTTGCCACTAGACTCCCAATGATCCTCGAGGAGAGAGTAGGGCAGATGACTTTGCACAGCCCTGCCTTGTTTAAATCCAATTCACTTTCAAGTCAAGACATCACCCTCCTGATGTCATTGGTCCTCTTTGAGAACAAAGTACAATGACAAAAATTTCATTTAACCCTTAGAACAACCTTGTGAGGTACCTATTTTATAGATAGATAGATTTTATAGATATATATCTACATAGATATAGATATATACCTACATAGATATAGATATATCACTTCATCTCTTCCAATCATACTTCAAAACTCAATCAAAACCCCAACCTTACCCATTCTTTAAAATGCCAACATACTTAGTAACTGACCCCCTGGGTCTTCCGTTCCCTTTGACAAGAGTTTCTTTACTTTTATCATCTGATTTTTTAATCAGATCTCTTCATTAGACTACAAAGGCTGGAACAATACCTGCATTCTGAACGATAGCAGATAATAGCTGGCATTTATATAAGGGCTTTAAGGTTGGCAAAGCACTTGACATGTATTATTTTACTTCATCTTCACAACACTGCATTGGTTCTATTATTATCGCCATTTTACAGACAAGAAAACTGATATAGACAAAGGTTAAGTGACTACGGTCACTTAGTCTGAAGTAGAATTTAAACTCAGGTCTTTCTGACCCCAAGTCTAATAGTCTACCCACTGAGCCATCTTGCTGTCTTAAGAGTGATCTATTCTATTTGTCTCAACACTTTTATTTTAGCTCCATGCTCTATGCTCTGAAGAAAAATTGCTTTTTGATAATGATCCAATAAATTCAGAAAATATTGAGTTGGAACTCTGGTTATTATAATGAAATCAACCACCTTTCTCTGAGCCTTTATTTTTCCATCCATAAAATGTCAACTAACTGCATGAACCTCTCCAGAAAGACAAGAGGATTTAGAGACATAAGGGGCCTTGGGGAATCATCTAATCCAATTTCCTCATTTGTAAAATGACAGGAAGAAGAGAATAAGCTCTTGGGCTTTACTATCTCATTTGAGACTCACAACAATCATGTCGGAGTATTGTTATTATTCTCATTTTACAGTTGAGGAAATGGAGGTGGAAAGAAATTAAGTGACTTGCCCAGGTTCACACAGCTAGTAAATGTCTGATGCATGATTTGAACTCAGGTCTTCCTGATTCAAGCCCAATGCTCTATCCACCGAGCCACCTAGCTAGTTATAGAAAGAGAATACATGTTCCCCAAGGTTGGTTGGTGAAGAAGACCCTTGACATGGAGAGAAGGGACCAGGACCTTTCCTTTGCCAAATTACAATGAGTAATTCAGACAGCGTATACAGGTCTGATGGGAAGGACTGTTGCTTACTTAGTTGTCCCACAATATGACTGCTTTCCCTGGGGAGCTCAGGGCTATTTGAAAACTTTATGTGTTTTTATATCTATGTATGGACTTCTGAGAGTCCTTTGCATATTCTTCATTTTTCATGGGGTTAAATAAAATCACATAGCTGATTTGCCCTTGTTATCTTGAGTGTCTGTACAAGAACTACACATCTGCTACCCAATTTGGGACGACCTAGACACAAACTACATCATCTTCCCACTTCTCTAGGTTTCAGTCTCTTGCTGTCTACTGCCTCCTTTCCTGCTGCCTATAGACTGGCCCCATTTCTTCTATTCTTTAAAAAAATTTCCTCACTTGAGTCTGTCATTCCTACAAATAATGGACTTCCCATGGTTGTTGTGGGAATAAAATGAGATAGTATTTATGAAATGTTTTGCAAGCCTTGTAGGTGCTATGTAAATGCTAGCTATTATTCTACATTTCTCCCTTTCACAGCCAAGCTACTAGAAAAAGGACACACTTTCTCTACTCTCTCTCTTTTCACTCATTTTTCAAACCTTACATATTCTGGCTTGTCAGCGCAACTAAGATGGTCAAGTTCAGTGGTCTTTTCTTAGCATCACCTTTCCTGAGCTTCTGTAGCATTTGACAGTGCTGACTATCTTCCCTCTCTCTGGGTTTTCACAATGCCATTTTCTCTTGGTTCTCTTTTTTCTTGTCTGGCTATTCCTTCAAAGTTAGGGGTTCTTTACCTGGGGTCCAAGGTCCTCTAAGTAATCTACAGATAGATTCAAGGGAAGTCTGTAAAACTTGGACAGAGAAAGACCTATGGAGTCTCAATGCAGATCGAAGCATATTATTTTCTCTTTTTTGGTTTTTCTTTCTTGTGGTTTTTTCCTTTTTGTTCTCATTCTTCTTTTACAACATGACTAATGTGGAAATAAGTTTAAGATGATTGTATATGTATAGCCTATATCAGATTGCTTGCCATCTTGGGGAGGGGGAAAGGAAAGAAGAGGGAAAAATTTAGAACGCAAAATCTTATAAAAGTGAATGTTGAAAACTAAAAATAAATAAATCAATAAATTTTTTAAAAAAGATTTAAAATATAAAGCATGATGCCATATATATTAGCTATTAAAAAAACTTGGATGGGAAAAATACTTATATTCATAGAACTTGTTTCCTTTGTGATCTTATGTACTTTATTTTTAAAAAGCTTTATTATTTATTTAAAAACAAGCTGAGGGTGGGCCCACAGGCTTCACCAGACTGCCAAAGGAGTTTATAACACACAGAGAAAGGTTAAGAAGCCCTGTTCTAAGTTTTCTCCTACGTACTGCCTCCTCTAATTGAGGGTGTATTCCAAGACTCTGCCCTAGGCCCTCTTCTCTTCATTCCTTTTATTTTTTCTCTACAGTCTCTCCTCAACTACTCACTCTACATCACCCCACATATCAAATCAGTTGCCAAATCTTGCCATTTCTATTTCCACACCAAATCTCACCTGTGACCCCTTCTCTTTTCTCACTCAACTACCATCTCAGTTCAGGCCCTAATCACCTCTTGCCTAGAACACTAAAACAGCCTACTAACAGGTCTCCCTGCCTCAGGTCTCTCATCACTCTAATCCATCCTCCGTACTACTCCTGCCAAAGTGACTTTCCTTAAGCACAGAACTGACCAGGTCACTCTTCCACTCACTCAACTACAGTGGCTCCCTATTTCTTCTAGAATTAAAGCCCTTCACAACCTTGCCCCAATTTAATTTTCCAGCTTCACTGTTCATTCCTGCCCTTCTGACATTCGTAGATCCAGCAACATTGGCCTTCACTGTGTTTTTCACAGGTAATATTCCCTTCTCTCAGCAACCTCCAAGCCTTTGCACTAGCCATCCACTATACCCAGAATCTGCTCCTTCCTCAGATCCACCACATATAATTCTGTCTTCTTTCAGTTCAAGCACCGCTGCCTTCTATGCTGAGGACTTTTCTGACTCTCCCCCACTGCCAGTGCTTTCCCTTCCAGATAATCTTGTACTTAACTGCTTCACATTTATTTGCATTTAGTGTCTTTATATATTGTATATGTACTTGTCTCCCCCATTAGAATATAAGCTCCCGGAGAGGATGGATTGTTTCATTCTTTGTACTTGTACCCTCTGCACACAGTACAGTGTCTATGCCAGTTAATAAATGCTTGTTGATTAACTGATGATCTCATCAGTTCCCATGAACTTTAATTATGGTCTTTCTATGGAGGACACTCAGATTGATGTATCTAGCCCTACTCTCTCTCTCCCCTGAGCTCCAGCCCTGTATCATCTCCATTAGGACCATGCCTAGAACACAGCAAGTACTTAATATTTTTTCATTAATTTATTCACTCATTCACCACAAAATTCTTATTGTAACTTCCATCTGAATTAATTAGGTATCTCAAACTCAACACATTCAAAATAGAACTCATTGGCTCAAGTATAGGACTACAGATATATTCCTATCAAAGTTCACTCAAGACA